CTTGTTCGTATACTGCTTGCTTTGAACCAACATTGTCCTTGGAGGGTTTCGTTTGGCAAAATTGTATTGTAAGCTGTTTGATCATCAAACACATCACAACTTGAAATTTTAATCACTGAGATTAAATATATACTGCAATTACACACGAATATAACATACGCTGTGTGGATCAGATGTCTGAAATTGTGAAATAAGCATTTAACAGTTCTGACTGTTTACATTGAAATGTTAACGTAAACATAAACTAAGTTTGTGAATTCCCTCATGCTTCTATAAACCAATTAATATATACTTTTGAAAACCTCACCTCAAAACTTTGGACATCCAAAACTTTGGTCGTAGCCCGAGAGGAACTCAGGGAAGTGAATAGTCCTATGACATTCCTAGGTATGTGCTTAGTTTCGTCTGTGTTGGTTTAGTATTTTGGTCGTGGCAGCTGGATAGGCAGACACCACCTCAATTTTATAAAAGTACTAGCTGCTGTACCCATGCTTCACAACGGGAAGATGTACCATACAACATTATCCAAACACTTGATTTATTAACAAAGAGCCACAAACTTTTTGCAAAAAAAGTAAGCTTATTACCTACACTGCAATTTGTCCTACTGTTTACATTAATATTGCGAGTCCCATGCCTCAAATTAAATTTAAGTTTCCTAAAATGTTTCACTCGCTTAGCTTAGTGAAGAGGTGTTAGGTTAATGAGACATAAGACTGCTTAAGGGTGTTACTCAACGTGTAATGAACCAAAATTAAATAATAAAAAAAACAACAGCAAAAGAAAACTATGAAAAGGCAAAAAACAACAATAGTAAGATAAACTAATTTACAACATTGAATTTACAAAAAAAGAAAATCAATTGAAAATTTAAAAGAATTAGTTACTGACAAATTACATGACTTGTTTGTTTTACAAAGCTTTAGTTATATATTTTATTCTTTTTACATACTGTTTATTGTCCCAGAAGCACACGCACCGTTACACGCACTCCCAAACTCCTGATCTTCTCGGTTCCGTGGCCCGTGGTGATCTCCTCAATTGTCCTCCCCAGGTCCTCCAGCTCTGTGACTCCTCACCCCTCCACCTTCTTTATTAGCCCTTCTCATTGGCTGATTACCGACAGGGTGTGTGGCTTATAGGTTAATGATGTTTCTTGGAAGTCAGCCCTACCGGTCATCACTTAGCTCACGTCAGCTGGGAAAGGAATTTGTAAATCGATGCTAATGCTACTCTGTTCACACCAACTGGTCGACTAAGTGTAATGTGAACAGAGTGTCTGCATAGATGAGCACCGTGTGTACGGTGTGTGGACAATCTTTGTGCTAAATTTGGGCTGTGTTGGTTTAGTATTTTAGTCGTCACAGCCGGACAGACAGACAACACCTCAAATTTATATTAGTATATAGATTCTTGTGTAAGTCTTACGGATATTTAATTGTTGGCATTTCCTTGTTTATAACCTTATTTTGAGGTGATTTGCCTTTGCCAAATTTATGTACGTCATAGTATACAATGAAATTTTAACAAAACACACATTGTTTCTGGTGCTGGTCTCATCTTAATTAACATATAATTTTTATTTATTATGATTGCTTATTCTTTTACATTTTTATTCAGATTAGTTTGAGTTGTGATTAATATAAATCTGTTATTTTACGAGCAAATTAATGTTGTATAATTTATGTGTTATTTTATATAAGTGGAGTTATAAACATAATATATATTATGTTTATAACTCCACTTATATAAAATAACACGTATAAATCTTCGCCGATGAAGCAAATCTAAGAACTTCGTGTTGGACCTAATGTTATTTAAGTAGGGAATAACTAAAGTTTTAAGGAAATATCTTAGTGAAAAAACGAAAAGCATAGGAGTTTCCTACGTCTACATGTTTCATGCGGCGAGGAAATTAATATTGCTTATGTGTGGTTCAACACAGTCCATTCACGAATTTTGATTTTGAAATAGCAGGGCTGTAAAGTATGTGGCTTAAAACTCCTGAATAATCACTTAAAAGCGAAAACCAGATATACCTAAGCCTTTATTGAAGGTTTATGACAAATTTAAACTAACGATTTGCCTTACGAGCACTTCCCTTAATTACACATCTGGCGCTTCATCGTTTCCTCTCCTTGATTGTAATCTCTTCATCTCCTAGAATTACAACGACATTCTCTATTTTATGAGAATAGATTGTTTGTTTAGCAATAAATTAGCTGCTAATACAGTACAATCAGCCATACATGTATACAAATTGCATTTTTACTATAAAAATAACTGATTTTATCACTATATTATTTTTTATCACTTATTACACCTTCCTGATTGTACCAAGTCACTAAAAATGGTTAAATGTATTTAAAGTAAAATGCATGCATTTTCTATTTAGCCATGGAAAACTAATCAAACAGAATATTATATTGAGTTGCCATATTTGCATTGGCTGTTACAACTAGCGCCAGATAATAAAACAAAAAAAACCCAGCTAACATAACATAAAATAACATTGGCGAAAAATTGTAGAATAACTTAAATTCATTTTTAAAAGAAATTATAACTATCAAATAAAGAATTATGTAAACAGTTATTCAATTTCATTATTCATTATTAAAATTGTATTTGAAAATGTGTATTTCTTTATTTTCTATTAATATTAATTGTTTTATGAGCTCTTATTTTCCGAAAAGGCGTGGTTAAACTTTCTTGGCTCTCTTTTAGTAACTCTATAATTTCAAACCTCAAAATTGTCACACCCCAATAAATATACAAAGAATACTAGAAGCACTTATTTAAAGACAAACCCTCGCACACACATTTCAGTATGTTATAGTATTTTTGTAAAGGTAATTTGAAACTATCTACAATTAGGAGAAGGAATTTTTCACAATACCGTTGGTTTATCAACAATCTAAGAATTGTGTAGCTAAAAATACACAAAAGTATATTTCCTTATCATAATGAATCAAGGCAGTTTACTTAGGCATGAAATGTGTAACTTGGTAACTTAGTTTGAAGTTGAAGAAAACCTGTATGCGATCCCGCTCAACTCCACTTAACAAACTTGATAGCTCTTGAAACATTGTTCCAGGAATATAACTGAATGCACTTAAAATTTACCTGAACCACATTAATAGACGGTAGTTTACTTAGTCACGCTAAGCATTTTGTGAATGGTTTTATAATACGATGGGGGCTTACGGGGGTTTTTACTTAAAGATTTTAGCTCAAATTTGCGATGCTTACTAAATATTTTAATCAAAAAGTGACAATGTAAAACTTAATCAAACATCAAATCTAATATTAACCATCCCTTTAAAAAAAGTATTACTTTGCTTAGTCGCATCAAGAGAACAAAACCTAAACAAAATTATTAACAGAAGATTGTGTAATATCTCACAAATTTAAATACAACGGTAGCACATCTTTCCATCCATATCGCATGTACACATCACTATTTACATAACACTAATCCCTATAAAAAATACTAAAACAAAAAAAAATCTTAAGTTCAAAGGGGTTGCTTTACATTATAACGCCCATACAGGTCGGGATTTATGCAGTATTAGCATTGCATGCCCAAACCCAAGGGTACGCTATCACAGAGAGGCTCGTTTGCATACTGCTTGTCTCTTGATCCAATATTCCGCTTAGAGGGTTTCATTTGTTGACCAGCTTTGAGGGACCTTCAAACAATAAATACACTGTCGCTTGATATTCTAGTCAATTCCCAAAATAGATTTAATGCATACGTAACTAACAACGGGATTCATTCTGGTTCAGCAATAGGCTAGGTAAATCAATAATAATTAAATAATTAATTTAATTAATAATTTAAATGATAATTCAATTTAATTTATCAATAATAATTAAATCACTAGGCAATATACATTATTCAGAACTCATAATATGAAGCTTTCAATAAATGTAGTTAAAGTCAATCTTTAATTTTAAAGTAAATTAACTAGATGAGTATGAGTTTGTATGAGGAATCCAACTGGAGCTAATGGAAAAGACACGTTTCCTTCAAACATTTGTATTTCGTAGGTGAATCAAGGAATAAAATAACCCATATTTAGCAATTTTCATAAACATAAAAACACCGATGGAAGTAAAAAATTTAATTTTTTATTGAGTTTATCATAAAAGTATTTGAGTAGATACATAAATAAAAAGGAATATTAAAACTCATCAAATCAAATAGTTTCTGACCTGTAAGATTACATAGCAAACGATTATAATGACTAGTGTATGTATTTATGCTTCATTCAATACGCTTTTCATTTATCTAATAGTTCAAACAACTTCATTTAGAGATTTGTCATACAATATAGGATATTACCGCTTCGAGGCTTATATTGAACAATACACCGCATGTTTGCAAACCTTTGTTGAATCAATGTTGAAATATTGCGAACAATGTTTGTTTGTCCGTTGAATGGATTCAGTTTTATTTAAATTTTCGTTGTGTATTTTATCCACTTTTCATCAGGGTGAATAGGTTATTTAGAGCCACAGTTTTAAGAGATTGCGATTTTTAGATTTAGTACAGATAATAAACCATGTCATCTATTAACTAATATTATAATTTCTTTTTAACGTATAACATAAAATAAATGTTTTAAATTGTTTGTCAAAATTTATTGGGTTTCGTATTTTTATAATTTTTTTAATTTTTTTTAATTTCACTTTTATTAAAACAATTCGTTATAATAAAAACTCACCAATAAAAATTACAACTGCTTAACACGATTAATTAATTTAATGTAAGACATTTCCTTACTTTAATCAATCTTAATGAATACCCGTAATTAAACGTTTTATTAATTTTATCGTACTATCGTTTTTTATCTATCCGTTTATAAGTATATTACCTAGAAAACAAGTTAATTCACCACATTTTGGTCACTACAGTGTGTTAAGACCACAGGATGGTCAAAACTTGGTTTGATAAAGTAGAATTACAAAAAGGGTACATAAATACAATTTGTTTGCAGGATGGACTCGACCTCAAGACCTAGGCGTTTCACCAGAGGCTGAGATACCTGCAGAGCTGTCCAACCTGAGAGGTCCCTACTTCGACACTTCAGCCTCCAAGAATGTGACAGCACTCGTGGGCAAAACCGCTTACCTCAACTGTCGAGTCAGGAACCTGGGCAACAGAACGGTAAGATCATAGATAAAATGGGTGGGACGGTGGTGTCGTCCTGTAATCTAGCTACTAGGAGGTCACGAAATATACTTCTACGTACTTACTAAGTACGAGCGATATACGTCAATGTATTAAGATTTATGGCTTGATATATATCACATACAAATAACTTTATTTGCATAGAAAGTAGAGTTCTGTAATCTTATGTTTGTTGTTTACTATGTAAAATCAAAATCTGTAAAAGTCAACGTAAAGGCAGAGTAGAGTTTTATCATACACAATCACCCAAATATTTGTATCGGTACACGGAAATACACACAAAATAGTATGTGAAGTATGTTTGGCAAAACCAAACTGCCAAACAGCTAATCATAAGCACTTCTTCACATGCATAGTTAAAATGTCTTAAACGTATAATGACGGACGGACAGACGATCATTAATGAAAACTTTGCTTACAATAGCTTTTCGTTAGGCATAGGTCTATGGACAGTAAATATAAATACGTCTAATATCACTTGAAACATATATATACATATACACTTGTACAGTTTTAAAAATACGGTAAATATATACAACGATGATGAATGGGATAGATTTCGGTTTGGACACTCCAATCATCATCAGACCGAATAGGCGAATGTGAATGACAGGAATCTTGAATGGCGTCCTTACCTATATCCTATTGGCTACCGAAAGTATACATTTTTCTTTGTACATTAACAACTCTTCTCAAAAATTTATTCGTTTAGTTTATTTTCATAGAATTCTTTAAAATAGAAAAATTACCCTCCATTGTGCCTTATGAGTGGCTATTTTGTAATATTAGTTGTGCGACGTCTGATCTTTCAAGTTCGGTGTTCCCCTATGCAGACACGTGGTTTTTGAAACGTTTAACAAAGTTCACAGTTTGGCCAATGTAGAATCTATCACAATCGTTACAATTTATTTTATAGATACACAAGGCATCGAATTTGTCACAATCTTCTTTTTTTGGGTTTAGTATTATACTCATGGCGTTTTGAGTCCTGAAGCCTATTGAAATTTAGTTTTAGCATGGTTTCAGGCATACATGTGGGCCACCAAATATAGAATAAATGAAAACACATACTTCAAGGATAATTAGGAAACAAGCATATCCATCTAATAAACTAAATGAAATTCTCGAAACACACTCCCGACCCAGAGCTTGTCATGGATGATATTTCCAATTACTGCACTATAGCTATAATATGTTGCAGGTATCCTGGGTGAGACACAGAGACATTCATCTTCTGACTGTGGCCAGATACACATATACCTCAGACCAGAGGTTCCAGTCGATACATTCCCCTCAAACTGAGGATTGGACTCTCCAGATTCGGTATCCCCAACGACGAGACTCCGGGGTGTATGAGTGCCAAGTCAGTACTACACCTCCTATAGGCACATCCATGTACCTATCTGTCGTAGGTGAGCATATACATAGAGTGTGAGTTAAAAATCAGCAATGCATTTTTGCTAGATAATATTATATGATAAGTTTATCCATTTAGATCCATTATCTATGTACCCAGCTTTGTTACAGAACTGATTGGTTGAACTCAAGTAGATTATATAGCAACTTTGTAAAGCCTATGTAAATAAAAATCTTGGTATTCATAGTTAAATTATAGTATTACATTTATCTCTAGAGTATTTTAATCGGCAATAGACACATTTATAAACATAGCTGAAAATATTAACGACATTAATGCAACTTTTTAAAACATTTCACTCACGAAAGAATAATTTAATTCACTAAAACAAATGTTGAAACCTTTAAACAAAAACTGTGGAAACTAAATCATCCCACAGAGGTGAAAATTAGTCGAAAATTAATTCAACGCTCCATTAGTTACCTCAATTGGCAAATCTCTTATCATAAATTAACAAAGGGCGTCGCCAGCGGTGATTTAGCACATTCAGCACCTCTATTGTCAGTTGTCACGGACTGTCCGTTTTTACACGTGAAAGGCAATTAATGGGTTATCCCGGTAGTTAGTACAGTTTGGATGATTTACGACTAATTTACGGTCGTTGTTCACAGAGCCAATAACAACAATAGTGGGTGGCCCGGACCTGTATATCAACAAGGGTTCAACACTGAATTTGACGTGCGTTGTGAAGCATAGCCCTGAACCCCCGCCTGCCATCTACTGGACACACAATTCTGAGGTACGTTAAAAGTGTTAAGACAAACAATTTTTGAAATTACGGTGTAAAAAAATAAACTAAGGTAATTTTAGTGGTGTTTAGAAATCACTTTAAATTACTAAAATTGATGTGTCTTCTAACGGGAAGTACTGTTTAGTTTAGGTTAAAATCTTCATCGACGATTAACTGGAATAAAGTAAGTTTAATTATACTTAAATATCCATATTTTGAAAATGACAAATATTTTTGTTTTTAATTACCGGTACTATAATTCATTAAATGTTGAAATGTGGGTAACTCAAACACAGGGAGGCTAACATTTTCTTTTAGTGGAATTGTGGTATATTATATTCCCTTGAACTAACTTACTAGTTTTACCGTAGATCTTTATTTTAAATAGACTGACCTATTGATAAAGGTCTTGCACAATGGTAGAGTGAAAGGCTACGGTCCCCGAGATCCTGGACTCAAATACCACCTATCACCAATGGATTTTTTATGTCATAATGACGCGACCATCAAGACATAATCTGAAATTATGTTTAAAACAGGATACTGGTTACGAGGTAGTGTTTTAAAGCACACCTTAAGCCTTTGGTTCTCATATTTATATCAAATTTAGTTTTTTCAAGCGATGACACCTTTTCTTTCTCAGAGAATCCCTTATTTAAGTCATGCGTTGAAGCCACTTTTATGGTTTAAGCACTAATATAGTTGAATAAAGAGTATAATGACAGTTGGCAGTATTCGTGGGCATCTACCATCTTTAGGGCATAATACCATTACATATGAAGGAATGTGACCTCTAATTGCTCGAGAATACAGGCGGCTAAAACCTATACTGAATATACAGCATTATTGAAATCTGCGATATCTCCTTACATTGATCAGAAAAATATATGTCCTACGTGCTATTTAGAGTTCCAAGAATACTTTTTAGGGTAAAAGGTGATGTTTTTACCTCACTCTTGGATATGCATTCAATGGTTGGTACTTTCCTGTTAAAGGGAACATTCATTATTATCGATGATTTTTTTTCGATATATCGATATTAACAAATTGAAACATATCAGCTGACAACTACGATAAATATTGTTCAGTATATGAAACTGTTAAAAAAAATAACCTAACATAACTAACCAAACTTGCTGTAAAATTTAAAAATTCCGAGTTTAACTTGCCTTTTCTATTATCAAACCCAAACGGAAGTTTTAAATGGTACAGCAAGTTTGGTTGGTTATGTTAGGTTAACTTAGAACAGTTTCATTTCTTAATCCGTATAGACTATTTTAGCATAAACAAGATCAGTTAGTTGTTGTTGTCAATTTGTAATAGATCTGATCGGAAAACAAAAATATCGATATATCGAAAAAATCATCGATAATAATGAATGTTCCCTTTAACAGGAAAGTACCCAATGGTTTTTGCAGGAGATTAACTACGACTCTCCACGTGGTGGAGTCAGCGTCATCACAGAGAAAGGTGACGTCACCACCAGCTATCTACTTATACAGCGGGCTACACAGGCCGACTCTGGCAAATACACGTGCAGCCCTTCCAACGCCAACTCAAAAACTGTTGTGGTCCATGTGCTGAACGGTAAGTCTGTCGTTATCTTTGTATATAAAGTGGTAAGTTGGCCGAGTAAGCAGAGTTAGGTTTGGTTAAATTGTGTCTGATATCACTATTTTATGACTGAGTAGGTCTATTGTTGAGTATCTCAGACTTTGGTGCCAAAAATTCGGTTTTGGCCCCTTGTTTTATCCAAAAACTATTGATGGGTATGACCGCTTCCCTTTTAAAAAAGTTTGAGGTTTCCTATGTAAATTATGTAGATAATTTATATCTGAGCTAAAAATGTGTGCAGTTAAAACTTGGGGAAAAAATCTAATTACGTAAAAAGATTATATTGAAAGTCAACATTAACATTGGCCTTATGGGTTGCCAAGTAACCATGTTGGTTGAACAAAATATCAAGCAAAAAGTAACAAAAAAAACACTTGTAACACGTGTTGATAACAAGCTATCCACAATATAATAGCAAATTACAAAATGCAGTACAAAGGGATAAAAATCAAATGTTACTATTGAGCAAAGATTACACTGATGATTACTCGATATAGGTAAAAGGTTGATCAAATGCTGATTATTGTACTTGGATCTCTCCTACCAAAACGTAGTTCCCGAAGAACTTTGGAAATTTTTACTAAGCTTTGGTTTTACAGTGAAATAAATATATAATACGATTTATTTATTTTATGTCAATTAGATTTTAAACAAACATTTTCAAACAGCTGCTTTAATTTAAATGGACTGTCAACAAAATTGAATGCAAGTACAGGCTATTGAAAATATAAGCGTAACAAAATAAATGTGTTGGATATTGCCAGATTAAAATTCCCACCATGATAAATCGAAATTCAAATAAAAAATAAAAGAAAAAATTATGGTCATGCTGTAATAAGGTTTGTGTTGCAGGGGAGCAGCCAGCAGCTATGCAGCACGGTGGCCAGTTGCGACTGGAGTACCCAAGCAGTGTGTTTCTACTAAGTGCATCAAAGTATATCCAGTTGCGACTGAGCTACCCGATCAGTGTGTTGCTACTTAGTGCATCAAAGTGACATTGAATGTTCTTGTGTTGCAGGAGAGCAGCCAGCAGCATGCAGCACGGTGGCCAGTTGCGACTGGAGTACCCGATCAGTGTGTTTCTACTAAGTGCATCAAAGTGACATTGAATGTTCTTGTGTTGCAGGAGAGCAGCCAGCAGCATGCAGCACGGTGGCCAGTTGCGACTGGAGTACCCGATCAGTGTGTTTCTACTAAGTGCATCAAAGTGACATTGAATGTTCTTGTGTTGCAGGAGAGCAGCCAGCAGCATGCAGCACGGTGGCCAGTTGCGACTGGAGTACCCGATCAGTGTGTTTCTACTAAGTGCATCAAAGTGACATTGAATGTTCTTGTGTTGCAGGAGAGCAGCCAGCAGCATGCAGCACGGTGGCCAGTTGCGACTGGAGTACCCGATCAGTGTGTTTCTACTAAGTGCATCAAAGTGAAATTGAATGTTCTTGTGTTGTAGGAGAGCAGCCAGCAGCATGCAGCACGGTGGCCAGTTGCGACTGGAGTACCCGATCAGTGTGTTTCTACTAAGTGCATCAAAGTGACATTGAATGTTCTTGTGTTCTAGGAGAGCAGCCAGCAGCTATGCAGCACGGTGGCCAGTTGCGACTGGAGTACCCGATCAGTGTGTTTCTACTAAGTGCATCAGTCACCTTCCTAAGCTAGTGCAAGTGACATTGAATGATCTTGTGCCGATGGAACTAACCATTCTATGTTCCTACTTTTGACTTGACACCCATGTTTGTATAGATGCTCAACTTGAAACTTAAAACCTTTTACCAATGCTGTCGTTCTCATCCATTCCTGTTCTTCCGAGAACGTAATAATTGTCCAAGCTTTGATGGTGAGATTATATAATAATTAAAGATTTCAGTAAACAACACGATTTTACTAAGCTTGTACTAAGGGTACCTAAAAGAATTTTCGTCAAAGTAGGAGTGTAGATAATGATTGTAAATATATAAATAAGCATTGCACTTTTGGGACGAATTGTATATATTTATCTTTTGCCATGATATTTCGTCCACTGTAATTTAATACGAATATACGAAATTAATCAAGTCTTAAACTGTTGCATAGTAAGATTTTATTTCGATTTATGTATGCGTTTAGAAAATATGGGAAAACATTTGTTGATAAAATAAAAACTAAAACTGAAACTAAAATAAAACTATAGTTTGTCATTATCGATACGTAATTTATACTTGATCAAAACCTTAAAAATGATTGTTAAATTAGTCAGAAAATATTCTGTTGATTGAAATTTAATCATAATTCAAATAAATCCTGAAAGTGTTCCAAATGGAAACCCAATTGTCAAATCAAATAAATCCTAAACTTATACCATTGCATTAATTTAAAACAATTAAGGCTTTGCCAGTCTAAAAATCGTAAAGATGAATTTTAAAATTTCTTCCAACATGAATACGTATAAAGTGAAAATAGATATACTGTACAGATAGCTTTATTACTGGCCAGACTTATTGAAAATAGAGTTATATTATTGTTGAATGTAATATTATTTGTTATTAGAATCTATATGTTTAAGTGTACAAATTACTTTATTGAATAAAAAATATTTACAACATTACTCCAGATAATTTGTTTCCTCTCTATGTACCAAAGAAATAATGCGGACGTTAATCCACACAAGGGAGTATCACATCCACAGTGCATGCCTATAAATATCCACAAATAGTAGACAACACTACAGTAGCTTGTCGAAACAAACCGTGTGTTATCGATCTGTATTTGTGACTGTTATCAATAACTATTTCCACTTTAAAATAGACTCCTTAACTCAAAATAGTTTCCTCAAACTGGAATAAAACATTAATGTGAATGCAACATAATGCATAGTGGTATTTGCTTATACTTTATCCATAACTCTAGTTTGAAGTAAGCAAACAAAAACTAAAGTTTTTAATAATTACATTAGTTATAATCTTCCTTCACCCTTGAATTTCTTTAAACCACTATGATACCACCACCACTACGATTGCTTTAAAATAGCAGCCCTAGTGTGTTAAGCCTGATCTAATTTGTCTGAAGCATAAATTGATTTCAAACCTTGAACTAAATACTAATTAAGCTTGTAGATGAGGATGAATCTGTTTATCATTCCTTTTCCACATAATTTATCTTGCTTCCTCTTAGATCTCGTTCTATTTCCAAATATTGTAGGTAGATTACACTTGAAGACTAACAAGAACTGAAGTTGGTAAATTAGTTTGTTGAAGCGCAACCCTAAATGAACGGAAGTTGACTTGGTTCATATTGGTTGGGGTTCTTTTCTACAACAAGTTAATCATCGAAAGGGCAATATACGGCAAATAGTGTACTATAAAATGCACATATTAGTTTAGGTTTAGTTTTTAAATGTTTAAGTAGATAACCAAACTCTTGGTATATATGTGTCATATAAATAAACAATGTGTGTCGAGAAAAGTTATGCTAGAAATATTTGGACTATTTCTTCAAGCGTTATAAGAAGAAAAAAAACATTATAGCCATAAATAACCACTTGATCAGCATTAATAGTCCTCGGCACCCTAACTTGAGGCAGCCCAAGGCCGCACTAGATATACGGCTTGCGGCCTTGGGCTGCCTCAAGTTAGGGTGGCGAGGACGGTTACATATTGGTGTTGATACCGGAGGATACTGCAAGCTACGATTAAGATTCTTCAGTTTGTACAATCAAACATCAAACAAAGTTAATATTATGGAATTTTTATGGAATTTCCATTGTTATCTTAAAATTCAAATAAATAATAAATTATTAAGTCGTGGCAACCCACTAAAATTTGTCAAAACCCCATATGAACACTGCGATGAAGAGGACTACTATAGATCAAGTTTAGATTTTGCACGAGACAAAGATCAATAGTCCAAGCAAACTAAACAAACTTACATAGGGATCGTTAAAAAAATTGCAAGAAAACGTTTTATGGTTTAATTTTGTAGAGTTGGGTTTGCAGAATGACATACTAAAAGTTGCCAAAAATCGGTGCACGAGAAAACCACTAAAATCACAATTTAAAATGGCGGCTTTTTCCAACATTGGACAAATAAATAAAAACATATTTCACATGCATTTGTTATGCACATTTTTCGAGATATTGACTTGGGACCACCGTCTGTATTTATCGGGTGGTTAGTACTTCATTTTGATAGGGAACATGTTTTTGGCCGCCATCTTGGATCCGCCATATTCGACATAGATAATTTTTTTTCAATTTAATGATAGTGTTGTGACACATCATAACCAACTACATTTTTACACTGATTTCAATGCCGAAATCCGTTTTTAAATATCTTTATTCATTTAGAAGATATATTTAAACAAAAACTCTCCACCATACATTTCTTATGGACGTTTCGTAGTTTGATAATTGTTTTGAAATTATTTTTCTTATATCTTCAGTTCTTATTGACGCTTGTAGTTCGTTCTAGGCTTAAAATATTCAGTAACGTAAGAGCTTTCATTTGAGCTCTTAATCATTAAAATCAGACGAGTTAAAGACCAGCTACGAACCTAAGAACAATATTAAATTTAACTTTTTAGAAATATATTTTTATTAAAAGATTTATAGCTCGGGTTGTTAATACGTCACCAAGTTCTTTCTGGTCTCAAATTACTCAGTGAATGTTTAGCTTTTATTTTATTAATCACTAAACAAAATCTGACAATTTTAAAATGAGTCATGGTTCTTAATTTAACATTAAAATGTATTTATTTTGAAGTTTGTCTTTAGTTAAGGACATATATCCCAAAGCCTAATAACTCCCGGAAAGTAATCCATAGCTAAAATAAAAGTCAATAATTTGGCGAATTATTTAAGACTATAAAGAGTTTTGGGAGTTATTTAGAATTGGTGATATACGTATATTTTTGATATATTTTTGGCAACTTTTAGTATGTCATTCTGCAAACCCAACTCTACAAAATAAAACCATAAAACGTTTTCTTGAAATTTTTTTAAGGTCATATCCTATATTTCTCCGACTACAAGGTTCACACCAAGACTTATAATTACAGTACAATTATAGTAATTACAGTATCTATATATCTAATTCCGTAAGCCCAAAATTTTACAATGAAATTGTGAGCGAATGGGAGGACGTAGAAAGCTGGGAGAGGTCTCATTTTAAAGGTCTCAGCATGAAATTTTGGGGAAAAATATTCATTTTTCTTAATTATGCACCAAACTGTCGTTACGGAATAAAATAATTCACATTTAAATAACATGGGAATCTAGGTCATGTGCTTTGTTTACTTTAAAACATGTGGTTTAACTTTATTTAAAGCATATGATATGTAATATGTACTGTAATATGCATACTATTATAAATTTGAAATAGACTTTTCCCTAATTTTAAGGGTCTGGATTGTTTAATGGAGTACGATTTGTTGTGTTAGGTATGTCTGAACAAAGTGTAAAGTTAGAAGTGATTACTGGAGTAGGCAAAGGGGACTTATTTTTCCATGCCGAAAATAAAACTAATATCTATAGATCCTGATATGCCGTTTAAGTTTACAAGTATTCAATTCCCATTGCGATTAGCTTTCAATATTACTTATTATTAAAGCAAAGGACGAGGCCGAACCCGAACAAAAGTTGGCATTTATTTGAAGAAAAAAATAGTGTTTACCCATGGTCAACTTTATGTTAACCAGGTAAGGCGGCCAGATGATGTCAAAATAGTACTAGAATCAAATAAAGACGAAGGAATCAATTAAAATGGATACCATACAACAAAAATGTTGTTTTCAGAGAGATTTTGTTATAAACTAAATACAAAATACAATATTTTTCTGTCATTGTAATTAGCATTTTACAATCTGGAGGAAGACGTTATCTCTATGTGTTTAATCCAAGTGAATTTGTCTATATTCAAAGAGATTTATATATATATTTAATTAATAGTCATGAAGATTATAATTGAAAATGATCATTAGTTGTATTAATGATTAGACAGTTGTTATAATACCGGATGAACAGTCTTTTGGAACTGTTATTTTAAACAGAGCAGATAACAAAATGCATTATGCAGGCATGTAATAATTATTATACATATTGTATACAAAAATGTTAAACGATCGAGTTGACAAATGGAGATTAACCCAATGGTTCAAGGTTCAACCCATGAGACAAAATATTTATACATATATAGGGGCTATTGCCCCTAAAAGCCACTAGTAATTATAGTAATTACAGTATAATTATACCAGATCATTGAATTGCAGATTTAACATTAAAATCAAAAATGTTTAACAATATTTTGAATTATAAATATCCACAATGCGGATTCTAATTCAACGTTTATAACATTCAACAAAAGCAACTTTTAATAGGGTTATATTTGTTAACCTACAGTTTATTACTTGTATTATTCCAATTTTTTTTGTCGTACTCGGCATTACTACAGGGTGCGTCAAAAACACCGATCTTTTCCCTGCAGCTTACTGTTCAGCGACAGGTCGTCTGAGAGTGGTGGGAGTAGGCTATTTGAAAAGCCTACACTACCTACACTGATCTGTAGAAATAGAAGTGGTCGCCTAAGGACCGCACGTTTGTTATTAAATCGTATTTAAAGAACAATTATTCAGTCATTACAACTCAGTGTCAGTTCCGTGCCTTCTTCTAATCATTCGGTCGACATGGAGAGGTTCCGTCGCATAGGACAATCATGTGCTGGGTTACTAACCTTAAAACAACGGCTTCTGCTTTGAAAAAGAAGCTAACTGGCCGTCCACCGTCCGATTGGATGCCAGACAGCTACAATTCAATAGAGTTTGTGGCGCTGCGGAAAAGTTTCTTCGTAGGGCCGCGGGAAAACAAGCGGATGCTTTGAACATCTCTTTCCACTCGGATACACGAATTAGGAAGGTTTGATCAGAAATATTTTCATCTCTACAGATAAATTTGAATAACTCTGTTTATTTTTTGTTATTATCCATAAGGATAAGAAACAAATCTACATAAAAATAATTTAGAGCAAATGTCTAGCACTTCACCAATGCATTTTTAAAGTTTTTTAATATCACTTTTGAATCTGTGTAAAATCTATCTATAAGCATCTAATGTTATAATAGCATTTAAACCCAATCAAGCAAAAATAATATTATTTTATGTAATCCTTAACAGAACAGGTTGAAGTTCGAGTTCCAACTTGTCAAGCAAGAGGCAAAGTTCAAAACTACTTAAACTTGGACAGTTTCCTAATACACTTGACTTGACATTCAGCCTACAATGACATTTAGTCGTCATTGTTAGACCACTTTGTTTGAACTAAAAAGGATTATCAGCTGTTTCGAGCCGTGAGATCTGACATTACCTATTTATTTTATAAAACTAAGTGGTAGTAAGTAAGTTTATCGTCTTATTTTGGTTGAAATAGACAACCGTATTGATTTAAGATTGCATCTTTGATTATGTTCAATGTCATGCAGTAAACATAAATAGCACGTCTTTCATGGAGACTATTAAATGAGACTTGTATTATGGTGATTGGTTGTTACCTTGTGATTAGGGATATTAAAAACCAAAAGAAATTTAAAAATTACACTTATTATAACCAATTAGTCAG